TGTGATAAAGGGAATTAGTATGTTTTTTATTTTTACATTCTCTCTTTACATTGTGATTTATTTGTTAAAGCTGGACCATTGTATATTACGTTGTAGTTTGTAGTGGATCTGTAAAATATGCATGTGCTATCATAATCATTGAACTTTTTTGCTATATAGCTCAGTTTTTATATAACCTGATAGTTGTTGATTTACCACTTGCTAATGACAGAAATAACTAACATGGCAGTAGCTCTTAAAATAATGTTTTCCTATCAGTTTGGAAGGTAGTAATTTAATATATATTGGAAAGTGTTTAGTTCAGTTACTCTAATATAATCTTTTTTTTTTTTAGTCTTTAGCTGAAAAAGTCATACTGTTCAGACTAAAATACTATTCCAAAATGTCATTAAATTAGTCAGTGCAGCCACTATATCACCATGAGGCATGTCTTACCAGTGGATTAGCATACTCAGCTAAGTATTCAGTTGTACTAAGCAATGTAACATTTGACATACAAAATATACTTACCTCTCCTCACACTACACCTATTACTCGACTGCTAGGGTTTCTTTACCTTTGCCTATCTAAGCTTTGGTCTGATTTTTTCTCACTTGCTTCATTCATTTATTCCCCACTTAAAATGCCCTTGGCAATATCTGTCTTGTTACACTCTCCATCTGTGTCAGTGTGCCCTTTGTCTTGGTTCTACATAAGCACCTCCATCAGATAATGATGTCACTTCTTTTTGACAAAGCACTCACTAACAGGTTTCTCTGTAGTACAGCTATTGGAGGTACTCTGAGTGTTGTTCGTGTTATCTGTTTGATTTAAAAAAAAAAATTGTTTGTCAAGCTGATATAAGGCATGAATTCCTGAATCAATGTATATAGCATGGAAACAAATCAAGTCTCCTATCCCACCTCTTATTATCTAGCATTGCTCATGAATCATGAAACATATGTTTGGTCCGATGGTGTTTCTTCGGGGGCTCTGAGGCTGCAATTGCGGATGATTCTGGACATCCATTATTCTATCAGCTTCTCATGAGGCAAATTTTGATCAGCACCCTTCGGTTCGTTTTCTTCCTTTGGTACATCGTGTGTGATGTTTTGGGTCTTTCCCCGGTTGCTTTTGAGTCAGCGCCTTCTATGATGGTGGAAAGGTCTGAGGGCAAATACTTAGTTCTCCTTCAACCATGGACGTTGTAGTTCATGCAGGGAGGTTTATTGCTCCATTATGTGAAGGGACAACTATGCCTTGTCTACCACATTTGTCAGTATAACATGCTTTAACCTACCTCAGCCATGTAGAAGCATATTTAGACTCGAAGAATAGTCGATCTAATCAGATCACAATTTTCTAAGATTTGTCTGACTCGAACTATGGTGCTGAGATATTTATCATCCTTTTACCTTTTTTGGAAGCCTCTTAGTAATCACCACATAAACTTGATGACAAGTTAGGACCATTGTTAGCATCCACCTTGGTTTGATTGTCAGCTTCAGTACTGTCTATAGTCTTTTGACTGATATGTTGTTAGGATTTGTTATATGTAAAAGAGTTGTTAGAGGGCATTTGTCTGTGAGACCCTGATTTTTGCAGCCGTTCCAGAGTCTTTGGATTCAAAGATTGATGTTGCCCATCTGCATTCATCCTTGTCGTCGTTGGCTTCTCGATTTTCTTTGGCTCCTACAGGGAGTCATAGTTCTGCTCTTAATCGTGTATTCTGACCACAAACTTCAGCCTCTCTGTCCATTGGTACCCAGAATAGATTTTGCTCATATCCACAAGATTCCTCTGCTTAGTTGGAATGCCTTTAGGGTCTGTGGAGGCTTGGCTCCAAGAATTTTTGGACATGTGGAAAACCTTTACCATGAATTCATGAGTACCACAGGTCCTTGTGTCAGGATTAGTCATTCAGTTCACAACTCCACCACCATTACTACCCCCCCCCCCACCCCACCCTGTAGTGTTTCTGCCTCCTGCAGATCCTCGCATTTCAGAACATTGTGCCACGGCTCTTAGAGATTTGTTGATCAAAGGTGCAGTGGAGCAAGTTGTTCCAGTTCTTCCTCAGTTTTATTCCCATCTCTTCATTGTGCATTGTTCTTCAGAGCTCCCAATGTGTATTACCCCTCCCCCCATATTCTGCTAGTGACTTGCTGTGTATGGTCCGTTGCACCATAGCCACTCTACACCTAGGGGCACATCCTTTTACTCTCACCCACATTAATGTACTCTTTGAGATTGAGATTCCGATATATTGTGGTTGAGATCCCTAATTGACCATTCTTCTCTCACATTTGGGTGTGCTCCTCCAATTTTCTGCCCATGTCTGCATCACCTCTTTCCATACTGGGCAAAGAGTATGGCTGGTACAAAAGTGATAAGGTCTCACATATGATCCTCTAATGGAAGGATTTACTCTTTTAGAATGTTCTATGGATGCTTTTGAGAAATGATTCTTTGTTTTTCCCTCACACCAGTTCTTCCACCTATTCAATATGGGATTCTAGGTATTCATGTGAGAGGAGGTAATGTACTGTATTGGAAGTTATAATTTTCCTATACTGAAAATATATTTCAGATAGGTACTTACTTACTCTCATACTTCTCACCCTTCCTCCCCACTGAAAACTGGTGCTTCCATTTTCTGCCAAAACTCGAAGTGATAGTTTGGTAAAATGGAATAGAGGGAGTTGCATGCATTAGGAGAGAGTGTCGCACTCCTATTGGTAGAGGGTTGTCACATGATGATTTACATACAAGATGCAGTTGAACTATTTGATTGTAAACTACATAGGAGCTCGAGCCTTGTGGCATGCAAAAAAATTTTGCATATAGAGGGCAGCACTAAACGAGAATCGCTATTTATGTGAGTGGAGGTAAGTACCTAATGGAAATACATTTTCAGTTTAGAAAAATTATAACTTCTGATACAGTACATTACCTCCACTTAAACTGGTGGTTTTTGGTATTTTATTTTTATGTAAGAAATTAGATAAAATTTATTGAGTAAATTTAAACTTTGAAGTATTTTGTTTCTTTTAATGTTTGTGATAACATCTACGTCTTTATCCCTTGAGGAAGAATGCTCATATTTGGGTGTGATAGAGTTAATGTAGCAGTAAGAAAAAGAAGAAATATAAAATTACAAATTATTACAGAATATTAAAAGCATGATGCAAAATCAGATAAGATCATTTATGCCCCTCAGTGGCTCAGCAGTCACTGACTCATAAGGCTAAGAATTAGGTTTTGATACCTGTGGTAAGGTGAGCATAGTGTAACTTATTGTGTAGCTTTTTGCTAAACAACAAATGAACCAGATCATTTATCTGTTTTAGTCCATACTAGTACACTCTTTAAACAATACAGGAATGTCATTAAGACCTGGGTTTGAGGGTTTTTCCTAGCTGTTTTCATTAAGAAATTCTAATTTTACATTAAGGAAACCCATAACTAAGATTCAACTACTGTCTTGTGAAGCTCACTTTCCAATATGGTAAATTACCTCCTCTCACATGTATAGCTGTTTTCATTCAGTGCTGCCCTCTATATGCAAAAAAATTGCATATCACAAGTCTTGAACTCCCATGTACCCCATAATCAACATTGTTCAACTGTGTCTCACATGTAAATCGTCAACCTTCCAGCAATACCTTCCTGATGCATGTGACTCCCTCTGTTTGATTCTGTTCCTGATGCTGCTTGGTTATGGACTGGAGTTGACCAGCCTTGTATGTCTATTATGCCCTAGCCACTTTACATCTTGGGGCACATCCATTTTAGCATATTCCTGTCTGTAGATAGTTCTTCAGTCTTCTATGGGATTGAGCTTCTGATATATTGTGGTGCAGATTCCAACCGAATTGGTTTTCTACCCCTTTTTGGTTGTGATCCTCCCACTTTCCACCCATGTATGTGACACCTATTTCCACATTGGGTGAAGGGCATACCTGGTACAGAAGTGGTGTGGTCTCCCACTTGGATTCTTCTCCCAACAGGGATAACACTTCATGGGTGTTCTTCAGACTCTTTTGAAGGATACTTATTTCTTTCCTTTGCACCAGTCCCACCACCTATTCAAGGTGGGATTCAAGCTCTACAGGTGAACGGAGGTAACGTACCGGATTGGAAGTTATTATTTTTATGTACTGAAAATAGATTTCTGATAGGAACTTACCTCCTCTCAAACTTCCCACCCTTCTCTCTGCTTCGTCTCAAAGTGATAGTTTTGTAAAAATAGATAGAGGGAGTCACATTCGTCAGGAGGGTGTGTCATACTATTATTGGTGAAGGGTTGTTGCATGATGTGAACCATGTTAATCGTGGGGTATGCGGGAGCTGAAGACTAATGGCATGCAAAAAATGTTTACATATAGAGGGCAGCACTGAAGGGGAACATCTAATATATGTAAGAGGAGTTAAGTACCTATTGGAAATCTATTTTCAGTATAGGAAAATGATAGCTTCCATAAACTTCAGTTGTGTAGAAACAACAAACCACCATCCCTGACAAGAGTGAAAGAAAAATTCCTATTACACAACATCTTTTGTATGTTGAGATCATGTGCTGTTTAATTTGTGAATAATACTTTTTTTTTACATGAGGAAACATGTAGTATCCTTATTTTTCAGTTTAGTAACTTATAATACAATTCTGCATAATAGATTTATTTGAATCTCTTGTTACTATGGTTGAAAAGCTTACCTATTTGTAAATATTAAAAATACTTGTGACCTGTCTCACATCAGAGTAGGTGAGTGACCTACTATTTAAACAATCCATTATTTCTCTGAGAAAACTTGCATAATTTTGACTTCTACATGTATAAGTAATGATTTTGCATATTTTTGAAAAGATTAACATTTCTGACAAATAACAAAAAAAGGGTATTAAAATTGTTTTGTTTTGGAGTGTCATGAGTACAAAAAGATGCAAGATTTTTTTTTTTTAACAAAATAGTATAGGAAATATAGACAGTTTTTTTTTATTCACTTTCTATATTTTTTAGGAACTCCAAGCAAAATATACTTCGACTTAGAATTTGAAAAAAAGTTCAACCCAACTAAGCATGGACCTGATCTGGTGAAAGTTTTCATAAAATGTGTATGTTACTCCCTTCATGAGATTTATGGTATAGAAGCTGACAGCTCTTTATTTTTGTGGTTAGATGCTAGGTAAGCTATTCCTGTATGTAATTAAACCTAAGATACAATTATACTTGCAAAACATCACTGTCTTTTAAAATATTGTTAAAGATGCTAAAAATGCTTTCCTTCAACTTCTGAATACCAACAAGGTTGTTACACTTAAAATAGACATCTGATAGTTAGGAATAGTTGTTACAGGGTTGAGTACATTATCTGAAAATGATTTTGAACATGCAAGTAAACAAGATGTGTGACAACCACAACTAATGTAAAGTTGTAGTGTAATGACATGTATCAGAACTACATTTAGACATATCTTAGTGTTTTGTAGGAAGTGTGATGCCACTGAATATTTGATGACTTTTGGAAAGTATATGTAACAGCTCTTTCTATGCAAAATATTCTTATTCTCAGAACATAAATATGTGTTCAGCTTTAGAATTCCTAGATTTGGGTATCCCTTGAACTTAATGGCATTGGAAATCAAAGGAATATGGATCAACTTTGGAGCAAGGGTTTTCCAGAAAAAAGACCTGCAACAAGTTATATACCAGATATATTTAGCAAAGTATGGCATCTTGTTACATGTGAACATCCATAAACATAAAGGTCAGTGGCATGAATCATCCAAATGACCATGTAAAAGTGACAGAATTCACATGCATACAGGTTTTTTTCATGTATATTCATTCAACCATTGGATTCCTCAAGTAGCTGGAGAATGAAATGGGTATCCATGCTATTCTGTATGAAGGCATAACAGTTTGTGTATTTCTGTGTGATTAGACTGTTGTAATGAGCTGTGGGAAACTTTTTTTTTTCTTTTTATACACTAGGTGTATTATGGACAACATGACAACTGTACTGGGGAGCCTTTTGCAGTTGTAATTATGCTGCAGGGCTATTATCAGTATGCACAGTTGTCAAATAGAGCATGATTGGATGTGATTACATAAATTGTAATCGCATGATGAAGCTCCAAAATCATCTTATTGTAATGTACTGAAACTGGATACATAAATAAGCTTTGAATATTGATGCATTTATACATGCTTAAACCTCAGATACCACTATAGTTTCTATGCTTAAGTCAGATCTCAGCAAATCCAGATTGCCATGGTGACTAAAATTTCATCGTGGTGCCTAGTATTTTATTCATGTGTAATGGATGTGCTAAATAGAAATCAAATCTAGAATAGTTTTGGACTCTTGGAAGTCTGGAACTATTTTCACATTCTTTGAATCCGAAATTGAACTTTGTTTTTAGGATTTTAATGGTGGATTCAGCACTTATTTATGTTTTTTCAGGAATGAAGTGATGTGGTTGCACAGCATGTTACTAATTTCTTGCAATTTTTTGTTTCGTCTTTCTCTCAATTCAACCAATCAGTACACATTTTTATACTCAGATGGGACCAAAGGCAGTTAGTTCAGGCAATGCTATCAAGTGGTTGTTGATATCATGTGATCATTAGCATGCACTCATTGTTGTGAAAGTAAATAAATATAACCCCATTTCCTGGTACAAACAGTAGTGAAGTTGGGTTAGGCATACCAAAAGGCCTTTGCTTATCATTGTATAGTGTTGTCATGCTGAGTAAATTAGACTTATTCTAAAATAACCTGCTTATTGATATCACAGTGATTATTTTTATTTTACTTTTATTCATTGCAAGAATCCACCTAATTTACAATTATTTAATGTACGAGTTTAATAATTACACATTTTGAAGTTTAATATAAGTTGTATAATAAAGTTTAATAATGAACCCTTTGTTTTTTAGTGTAAAACTGTATATCTCATACCATAACCACACACCCGACTCAAAATATATTCTATAACTTTTTTATATTGGACCTAGCTTTTAAGTTTTTGGGCGGGATCCTAGATCTCAGATTTTTGTCAAGGCCTGGCTGAAGTCTTTCATTGCCATGCTTAAAGATAAATAACTTTACTAATGCCAGGTATAATTTGTGGTTTACATTAAAAAAAAACAAAAAAAGACAATTTAATATTTCATTACTTCCCTGAAACCTGAAAGTGGTAAACTGTGGGAATTTTAAAAAAGATTACTCTTTGCTCTTCAACGTGGTACAAAATTTCAAACTCCCATCAGTGCTTTATAGGAAAACAAATATGTGCCCATGGCAGTGAAAAATTAATCAAGTCTTTTATATAAATATAATTTATGAACTTCCCCACATACCAACCACAAATAATTTTGCTACAATGATATACAGTGGTGATTGAATGGAAAGTAATGCTCCTGCTTTGCACTTGTTATTGGCTTCACTGATAACAGTATGAGGTCTCACTTGTCTGATGTGAGAGTGCTTTATATTAACTTATCATAAACATATGAATTAACAGAATGGGTAGGGGGTGGCTTGGAAGATTATGGACATTTCACACTAGTCTGGCTATTATAAAACATTTAGAAGAATTCAGTGTTTTTAAAATTTTTCTTTATTTAACTTTGGTTAAAGTTTAGAAACACTTAAACTACAATGTTGGTGATTGATCAAAATTGTCTAACTATGAATAGATGTCATGGTTGTACTTTTATTCACAATGAGAAAGGAAGGAAGAACTTAAAAATTTTAGAAAACACGGCAAAGCATTTTATCAAATTTTCTCAAGAGTAATTTGATACAGCATCTTAATTTCAAACCAAACTTTTTCATTATAACTGTCATAATTGGGAAATGACTATACAACATTAAAGCTCATTAATTTGTAAACATGAAGTATCTTTATGATATACGTTGCTGTTATATTATTGCTGAAAGAATCTTTGTCAGCTCTGTTTCTCATTCTTCATTGTTATCACTGTTAAGAATCCATGTGAACTTTATGGGTCACTCTTGACTGCGTGGATCAATTTTATCTTATCATTAATAAGAATTCTTGTCAGTTTTATATTTCACTCTTAATTGGGTGTATCAATGTTATTTTATCACTGATAAGAATTTCCTTGTCATCCTTGTTTCTCACTCTTGATTGTGTGTATCAGTATTATGTTATCCCTTATAAGAATCCTTATTAGCTTTGTTTCTTTATCTTGATTGTGTGTATCAGTATTATGTTATCCCTTATAAGAATCCTTATTAGCTTTGTTTCTTTATCTTCAGTGGATGTATCAATGTTATTTTATCACTAATAAGAATCTTTGTTAGCTTTGATTGTAACTCCTGATTCAATGTATTCTTATTATGTTATCACTGATAAGAATCCTTTTCAGCTTTGTATTGCACTTGATCAGATGTATTGATATTATGTTATCAATTATAGGAATTTTTTTCTCATTTACAATCAGGTTTATCAATGCTATATTATCAATTATAAGAATCCTTGTCAGCTTATTTTCTCACTTTTGACTGGTAAGGATACTGGTCACCTTTGTTTCTCACTTTTGACTGGGTGTATATTGATATTATGTTATCACTGGTAAGAATACTGGTCAGCTTTGTTTCTCACTTTTGACTGGGTGTATTGATGTTGTGTTATCACTGGTAAGAATACTTGTCAGCTTTCTTTCTCACTTTTGACTGGGTGTATTGATATTATGTTATCACTGGTAAGAATACTTGTCAGCTTTCTTTCTCACTTTTGACTGGGTGTATTGATATTATGTTATCAATGGTAAGAATACTTGTCAGCTTTCTTTCTCACTTTTGACTGGATGTATTGATACTATGTTATCACTGGTAAGAATACTTGTCAGCTTTGTTTCTCACTTTTGACTGGGTGTATTGATATTATGTTATCACTGGTAAGAATACTTGTCAGCTTTGTTTCTCACTTTTGACTGGGTGTATTGATATTATGTTGTCACTGGTAAGAATACTTCTTGGCTTTGTTTCTCACTTTTGACTGGGTGTATTGATGTTATGTTATCACTGGTAAGAATACTTGTCAACTTTCTTTCTCACTTTTGATCAGGTTTGTAGATGTTATTTTATTGCTGATAACAATACCTGTCAGCTGTGTTTGTCACTAGATGTATCAGTGTTGTGTCATCACTGATAAGAATCTTTATTACCTTTATTTCTCATTCTTTGTCAGTTTTATAAATGTTATTTTATCACTGATAACAATACCTGTAAGCTTTGTTTGTCACTAGACATTTCACTTTATTACCTTTATTTCTCAGTCTTTGTCAGATTTATAATTATATTGTAACTGATAACAATACCTGTCAGTTTTGTTTCTCTCTCATCTTTGTTACCTTTGTTTCTCCCTCTTTGTCAGGTATGTCATTATTGCTGATGGCAATCCTTGTCAACTATGTGAATGAATTCATAAAACAATAATGTAATCCTTCTGTAGTACTTGAAGAAAGAAATCTTACCTTCAAAAATATAAAAGATGTGTTAAGTTTCTGTATTTATATCTCTTTTTTTTTCAATAATCAGGTATTTAAACAAGTAATAAGAGTTCTAATGGGAGCTAAGTATTATATTTGTATGGCTAATTTATAGTTTTGTTTTTATGAAAATAGGTTAATTGGAAATGTCATAAATCTGGAAATCTTTGCTTTAACTTGTATATGTGGTTTAATTGGTATAAATAGTCCTGAGATACATAACTGAGTTAACACAATTTATCCAATAGAATTAGAAATTGAAAACACTTGTATTTCTGAGATAGAGGCACATTATTTAACTTAAATGCTGTTGATAAAATAAAATACAAATTATTTTCCAGTGTACAGCCTATCTTCTCCTAATAAGTAACATGCTATATTCTTCTGTTATAAGTATTATAACTTCACTATTGCTCAGATTCTGTAAAATTTGTAATAAGTTACAAAACTTAATGGATTTAATAAAAACATTGAATAAAACTATTAAAATATTTTGTAGTAAATACAAAAGTATATTAACGTAAATATGAAGTGGTAAGAATTAAAAATGTTTTCCTTGAAATTTCCTATAAAATTTTAAATTTAACATAGTAACTAAAACTTATTTTTAACCGTGAATAGCATGAGATAACAAATTCTATTTTTTAATGATAATTATCA